CACACGTTTATTCTCACACACACACACAGTTAAAACCATTCACCCAGTTAAAACCATCTCTATACAGACACACACACACCACACACACCGACACACACACACACAACCCAACCACACACACACACAGCACACACACACCACACACACTACACACCAACACACAACACACAACACACACACAACACAAACAAACACAACACACAACACCCACCAACACACACACACACCACACACACACACACACAACACACCTTTCAAGATCATTAGTTGCACTATACACAGCATGCAGTAAATTCAGGGAGCTTTTGTCTGGCAGGTTTTTCTCCCATGCGTGGTGATATGGATGGCAGAACATATGGAGCCAGGGGACATTCAAGGAAGTGGCGTAAATGCAAAGCATATAAACCATTTTGTTATTTGTGCGTGGTTGATGGAAACATTGTTGGCATCTAAATGGAAGTAAGGCCCCTCTTCTTCCTTGCCACTTTGTGCGGGGGACTCGGTTAAAACAATCTGATATAAATTTTAGCTGAATTGCTAATCATGCAAATTGTGCATTTAGCTCTCATTGCTTCATTTGCCTGATTCCAATTGAGTACAAGTTCTTCGGTCTTGGCTTATAGACTTCTATAATTCGACCCTCCGGGTCCCGTTCTTAAAGCACGCGTATAAAACTCAAAGTATGTTACTTGGAACGTGGTGAGATGTCTGTTATATTATATCCAAGGGTCGGTTGTTATTTTTCGGAATGTATTAACATTCCAATAAAAAAAATGATTAACTTGAACAGAAAAATGTATTGATGAATAAAAGGGAACATTAAAAGCGTACCTGTGGATGAAAAATCTGTATGTGTTGACGCCCGAACCAAACACTGACCTGATCTGAGCGTTCCGGGCTGGCCTCAGTCAGGAGGGGACTGGCCTCCTCTTCTCTTTCCTCCTGCTTCTTCTACCTCCAATAACTCTCATCTGGCCCACCCACACACACACACCGCGGCACACATTTCAGTCAGTTAAAGTTTCTTAACTGTTATAGTCATTTTATCTTGACTCTCTCGCAAATGTATTCATCTTGTTTGCTCTGTGCTGTCCTGTTTTTCAATCTTAGCATGTTGCTGTTTAACACTTAATTTCCCCCAGAGGGATTACGACTCCATCTTATCTTAAAGGGGACCTATCATGCAAAATGGCACCTTTTTATGGTCTTTTATACCATAAAGATGTGTCCGCCGGCATACTTGTTGCCAACCTTGAGGACCTTCAGAAATCGGGAGTGGGCGGGGGGGTGCTAGTGGATCGCGGAGGCTGTTGATTAACGCAGTGGGAAATGGAAAGGGTGAGCAGAGGGGTAGAGTTGTCGATTCCTTCCAGTCTGTTTTGTGTTGGGACTATCTGCCTCACCCTCTCAGACTTCCGTTCCGCGCGCTACTAAAGAGACGCTGTACCATGGAACCAAACAATGGTGGAACAAGTCCGAGTGGAACGTCCTGAGTAAATCTAATTTTGCGAAATCGGGAGAAAGTGGGAGGAAATATGACCCCGGGAGGAAACCGGGAGAGGGGCAATGAAATCGGGAGTGTCCGCGAAAATCGGGAGATGTACATAACTATGTGTCCCCGGTGTGTCGGGGAACTCACGCAGCGTCAGAAAATAAAACCCTCTCTCTTTTCCTCCGTACCCAAATCTCTAAAAATGGGGGAACAACGGAGCTGATCCAGATTTGCGTCCGATATGACGTAATATCTGAAATGTGGACCCACGGCCCAATCAGAAACGTTGCTATCAGAAACAATGCCCGACTGTTTTGGACGTAATATGGTCGGTGTTTACATTAGCATCGCTAACACTCAGAGCTAACCTGTACTGGAGAGCATGTGTGTGAAGAAGCAGGAAGTAAAAAGGAACTCATCTTGTGGTATAACCGGAAAGAGAGAAAGCCTTTGAGCTCCATACTGTTTCAGAGAGAATCCTTGATAATCCATGATATGGCGTTTCATCACGGCAGTATTTAGTTTAGACAGTAGCTGCCGGGTCCCGCATGAGCTCAGACCCCTCCTTTTTTTTAATCAATTATTTTATTTTTTTAAAGCTTTATTCCCCAAATCAGCACTTTAGAAACAGGAAGTGAAATAGAGGGATATGAGGCATGGCTAGAATGGGTGATCTGTTTGGTATTTGGAGCAAAACACTTCATACACATGTTTTAATATATATTTTTATATATCTGAGACCTATGCTATTGCCTAAAAATAGCATGATAGGTGACCTTTAAAGAACACTCAGTTCCTTCATATATTTTTTTTTGATGGATTTAAAAAACAAACATGTATTCATATTGTTATTTATTATTATTAATATTTGTTTTATGGTGTGCAAACCTGCTCGTTTTTTTAAGACTGGTACAACATTTTTTGTAAAGCGTCTTTGAGCATTTGTTATATGGAGTGTTTTTTCATTTGTATTAATATTGTTAATTATGTAATATCATCATTTTTAAGTAATGTGCAAACCTGCTAGTTTTGTCACCACAACGATCAACTTTTTGGGAATTCTTTAGGATTTGCAGAATTATGGTGAATATCGACTCCTGCTTTAGTACATAGGTTTATTTTTTAGAATTGATGTTGTAGTACAGCTTAGCTAGTTTTCAATCTGGAGATAGTCTGAGTCTAACTGATCCTGTTTCTGTCTCAGAGGAGCAGTTTCTCACTGATGAGAACATGGTGGAGGCACGAGAAGCTTCTGAAGAAGATCTGCTGGTGGTTCACACCAAACGCTACCTCAACAAACTGAAGGTCACTCAGATTACCCACAACACACCTCTCAGTATGACACTTAATAATGGCACTGATGCATAGGTTTAGGGTTTAAATATTTTTCTTGTTTTTGTGCTGTTTTGTTTTTTGTTTTGTGTACCTTGAAAGGCGCCTTCATAATTAAAATGTATTATTATTATTATTATGATTAGTATTACATGTAACAGGATCCAATCAAATGTAACTGTATTGCCTTACAGTTACATACAGAAAGAAGTAATCATACTGTTAAATGTCTAAGGCTTGGATTACTAGCGGGATGTTAAAACACATCTAAAATAAAGATCAAAATATTATAGGTTGACGTACTGCCTGCATTTTGGTTTTAGTTTCTTTCATTCTTCCTATTTTAAAAATGTGTTTTAGGTTGACGCCTAATTTATTAAATTGAAATTATCTTGTTGGTTGAACGCACTTATTGTATGTCGCTTTGGATAAAAGCGAAAGCTAAACGCAATGTAATGTAATGAAATACTATGTTTGCTTTTAATTAATATATGCTCAAGACTAGGCTCATTATTACTGAAAAACTAAAAAATATTAAACATTGTGTAACATATCGTATAAAAAATAAAAACCCAAAAGTAATAGTACTAGTAGAGTAAAAAACAATATGAAAAAAATTAATTAAACAAAGATTAGAAATATCAATTTCTTTTTAAATAATAATAATTGAAAAATTTAAAATAATAACACTACAGACAAAAAGGATTAACAAACAATACAGTCCCAGGTTTTTATAGCAAAACTAGATTTAAATTTTTTTTAAATTAGAATGAGTTACATGTTGGCGTCTTCATATACAGTGTGTTAGATTTACCTGAGGAACCACCCAAAGTACACTTTATTTTTTCCGTTTGTAGAAACCTCAAACATTCTCCTTTTTGGGTTTATTTACGTTTCAGTCCATCTGTGGTTGTGTTTGCCTTTTAGGGGATAAAGTCACAGTTACAATCTTTTAACCGTCACTAACTGTGTTTTTTATTTATCTCAGTGGTCTATGGTGGTGGCAAACATCACAGAAATCCCACCTCTCATCTTCCTGCCTAATTTCCTGGTTCAGAGGAGAGTGTTGAGGCCTTTGAGGACGCAGACCGGAGGAACCATAATGGTAGCTATTTGAGATTCAGAATGTGTTTAATTTCTTCAGTAAACACAAATCCTTTAGTGAATGCAAACACCACCTATTATTCAAAATCCACTTCTTCATGTCTCTTCTACATCAACATGTGTCCCCTCTTCTTCATGTCTCTTCTACATCAACATGTGTCCCCTCTGTGTAAAGAGACTCAGGAAAGTTTCAGGAACAAAGATTCTCTCTCTTTTTGATCCATTTCTATAAAAACCTGTCTGAAAATGAGCTGATCAGATTTTGGCCACTTTATGATGTCATAACGATGTGTTGTCTTGTGTAACCATTAGCCA